GTGTAGGAATGGGATCCCATAAATTTTGCCCTTTCCATGTTAGCATATATATTGCTATTGCTGTTATTCTGGTCTTGTTTATACAGTCACTTTCAGGAGACACTGTTTCAAACCAGAGTTCTGGATGTTATTACTCTTAACAGTCTTTCAGCCCCTTCTTCCTTTACTTCCCTGAGGAATAGATGATGCAGGAGCTGTGATACAGATGAGCCTGGCCTCCTCATTGTACCTTGATATTTGGCTTTCTGTCCACTTGTGGTTTTGGGTGATGGATCTGCAGTAAAATGAAGCTTCTTTGATGAGGTGTGGTAGATACACTTCTATCAGAAAATCTATAGTTAGGAACCACAGACCAACAGGAATATTTCATTTTGTTTTGTTTTGTCTTTGTTTTTTGAGAAAAGGTTTCTCTGTGTAGGTTTGGAGCCTGTCCTGGAACTCGCTCTGTAGACCAGGCAGGCCTCAAACTCACAGAGATTCTCCTGCCTCTGCCTCCCAAGTCCTGGGATTAAAGGAGTGTGCAACCAACGCCCTGCCACATTTCATTTTTTATCTTTGGCCTGAGCTTAGCCTTTAATGGCTAAAGCTTCTCTCCAGCCCATAAGGACGCTTTATTTTAGAACTGTGTGCAATCCATATCTCTATGTATAGTTACATATTTCTATTTTCACTGAAAGCCACAAAATCTAAAAAGTTTTGTTTTCATTTTTATTTCATTAAAAAATGTTTCAAAAGTCCTTTTGAGAAATTTTTGACTCGTGTAATTTAGAACTGTGTTTCTCAGTACTTTGGGATTTTTAATTAGCTCTGTTATGGTATTTCTAGTAGCGTTCTGCTTTCTCTGAATAGACATTGTATGATTTCTTTTCAAGTTGTTAAAATGTTTTGTGGCCCTAGATGTGGACTATTTAGTACTTTGTGTGAGCTTCAGAAATATGGGCATTATGCTCTTGTGGATGAAGTAGTCAATAGATGTCAGCCATATTCATTTGTTTGTTGATGGTGCTGAGTTCATCTGTATACTCACTGATTTTCTGTCTTCTGTATCTATGCATTACAGCACATTGACTTCCACAGCTACAATAGTGGATTCATTCCTTATGCTGGCATTTCTATCTTCTTCTGCCACAGGATTCGGTATTGTGTTAATGCATACACATTAAGTACTTCATTATCATTTTGGAAAACTAATCACTTATAATTATGAAATATCTTCTTCCTTCCTCCTTCCTACCAGTTTTCTTTCTCTTTTGTGTGTATGTGTGTGTTGTGGCACATTAACTTGTAAGTACACAGTGGCCAGAGGAAGATATCAGGAGTTCTATTCTACCATTCTGTGCTTTATTCACTTGAGACAGGGTCTCTTACTGAACTTGGGGCTAGTCTAGAAGCCACCAAACCCTAGCCATCTCCCATTTCCACTTGTCACATCACTGAAGTTGTAGGGATACCTGAAATTGGGGATGTGATCTCAGATACTTATTCTTAGCAAGCTAGAACCCTTACCCACTGAACCATTCCCTAGCTGCTAGATCTCAGTATTCCTGATAACTTTCTTATCTGAGCTTTGCTCTATCTCAAATTATTATAGTTGTTCCTTTATTAGGGGAGACTAGTATTCACAGAATATATTTTTCTATTCATTTACTTATAATCTGTGGATGCCTTTATGTTGAAAAGGGATTACTTTTTCTTTATTTTTTGTTATTGAAAGATTACTTATTTTGAGATTATAATTTAATTACATCATTTGTTCATTCTCTTTATTACCTTAAATTTCTCCTTATGATCCCCTTTCTCTCTTTCCAATTCATGGTCTCTTTCCACAGTATAATTTCCTTTCTTTGCAATGGTCCAATGACAGTCTAGTGACATGCGTTGCAAACTATGGCAACTGTAGCTTTCTATATAAAGGCTGGTACTCTGCCTATGCCTGAGAAGCAGCAGGTCCATGGATCCCCAAAGCTACTTGCCTTCCTCACTGCACTCATACACACTGCAATCTCATGATCTATTGGTCATGACACACATACTGTTTTAGGTGTATGTTATGTGTCTTCTCTGGGCTGTGACCAGGGGAATGACAGCAGAGCAACCAGTGTGAAGAGCTTAGTCTTTGCCTGTAGTGAGTTCCTTTCCTTCCTTCCTGGCCTAGACAAAGACCTTTGAACTCAGATACAAATGGTAAACTCCCTCTACCTTTACCATGTTGCTCAGTGCCACACACTTGACTCTTAAAGACAAACACGGAGTTGGTGGATATATGAACAACAACCTATAATTAAACTTATCAAATATCAGAAAAGATTGGGGTATTCAGTAAAACAAAGTGAGCACATGCTTTGCATTTTTTAGGACCCAAGAAATGTAAGTATTATGAATGTTGCTTGATGTATGTTTTGCCCTGAGCTGTCCTATTGTTTTGATATCAGTCTGTGATTGGAAAAGTCAGCGATCTGGGTGGGGAAGGGGTTGTTATCACAGTTTATTGACTCTTCCTGTGGGCAGGAAACAAAGAGTTTCCTGCCTAGTTCACTGATGTTGTGTAGATAGCACCCAACACAATCCCCACTAATTGCTTGCTCAGCATTGTGGCCAACCATTCAGATAGGCTGTTCCTATTGTGACTCTTCTATCATTACAGAGCAGTTGAAAGAGACAAAGCTCTGTTTAGAAGGGTATCTGTGTGGCTTCTCAGAGACAGATTTGTGACATTGTTTCCATTGTTATTTCATCTCATTTCCGTCCAATACTCCCTTTCATTCTCCTTCTGTAGGACGGTCTCTCCATGTACCACCTAGCTTCTAACCACAAACTCTTCCAAGATGTTCATAAAATGCACTGTTCTTTCACGTTATTTGAAATTCATTGAGTATACTATACAGTACAACTTCCTGTTGTACTCTGCTAATATGATAGTTCATTCAGAAGCTTAGGGGATTGGCTGTGTATTCTAATTCTCTCCCCTACTAGCTGAGGTAACAGGCATGCTATCTCATGTTTCTGCATCTCAGATACAGTTAACATGGTTCTGTGGGAACACTCAGGGTACCTAGCTCCTGATTTAAAAAACAACACCACTATGTGCAAACTGTCTATCCCAGTGACCAGTAACTGTTGCTTTGCTTACTGTTGTGATTGATGTGGTTGCTCTAGTTAAATTAGTTCGAACCAATAGATTAAGAACTCTAGGATCACATAGAGAACATTTATTCTTGATATCTCATGGAAGCATGAAGTTCAGTAAATATGTATGGCATCAATGGGTGAAAGGTGAAAAATGAATTAGTTAATGAACTGAATTCTAGTTCTAAATGCTTTACTTAAAAGATGAGATATGGCCCCTTTGTCAGTACAATGCTCTAATATTACATACAATTCGTGTGGTTACATAGCCTGAAAGATTGTTCAGATTTGTGAAACTGTAAGTATTCTTTATGTTATCTATTTTGTAACTGTGTATAGACTAAGAGGGATTAATTTCAATTTAGGATTATCTAAACATCTACCCTTAAAATTACTATTGGCATTTTAATGAAATGTTATTTTACAGCTTTAAAACTCATAGCAGTATAATTAGTAATATGTGTAATCTTTATGACCAGTCTTAATCTTTTTTATATGACTGAAAAATTATTTTATGGTAGTACAATTAAAATAATGCTAAAAATGTCAGCATAACAGAATTAGACTAAAGTAACTACTACAATATTGTCTGCCAAACCAGCTAATATAAATGCAAAATACTTTCTACAGGCTATTTATTTGAACTAATACATGGCGAGGGATTTAAGGAGTAGTTTGTGTAATGAAATAAAAAGAAAAATAAGCACTGTACAGCAATCTTTGCTATTGTTTAACATGAGGGAAAATTAAATAGGTTTATGTATTGCCCACTTGAGGAAAATGTATTAAAAACCATACCACAGAATTATAAATATAAAGGCAAATGGCAGGCAATACTCCATTTTACAGGTTCTTATAAATACTCCATTTGCAGGTTCTTAAAGAGAAATCTGGGGTGCTTAAAGCTATCATTTTACAAATGATGGGGTAATATTAACCATGGCAATCAAACTGTGTATGCCCAGAATTCTTTGTTAAATTTGTTTCTTTGCCATTTTCATACTTGCACACAATGTTTTCTGACTGCTCTCCCCACCCCAACCCTCCCTTCTGCCTCTATCAAACCCTCTCTTTCCTACCCATCCTCTTTCCATTTTTATGGCTTTTGTTTTGTTTTGGGACCCAGTGTTTGTAACCAGGGCCATCTGTGTGGGCATGGATGCCCAGAATTCTAACGGTATATTATGTAAAAGAGTTTCATGACAGTCGTTTACTTGGCACACCAGAATAGTTAGAATTTTTCACAGTGCTTTTACCTGTTGATTCATGGGAATACACACCAATTTGTTGTCATTATTTGTTTTGGAACCCAGAAAAAAATGAAAAAAATTTAAAACAAGATACTATTCAGTATAGAAACACTGGAAAAATACAGAAAAGTAGAAAAGAAAAAAACCACCCAGGATTTTGCCACTATTACACTATCATACTTCAATAGTATATCTACTTCTAGTGTCTACTCCCTTATGGATACTTTTATAATTTTTGATAAAAACCATTTATTGTACATAAGAACCAAATATATAATACATATAGTTTGTATAAAGACCAACTTATATTGTTGAATATGCCTTGTTTCCTTGTAACATTTTAAGACTTCTTTTTCTAGACACTCAGAATTGATGTTTTCATATTTATTCCTAATTGTTATAGATATCCACTTTTCAAGCCTTGCTAATTCTATATACATTATTAATTTTTAACTCCTTTCTTAAAAATAATCAGATCATTAAAATCCTTTCACCTTAGGACAGAAGCATCAATATAATCTGAATGAATACAGACTATATAGTGTGTTTTACCTTTTCAGGAAAAAAACTGGCTAACAATATTGTGTTCCATGTGTCATCAATCATTTGTGTTTGAATCTGTAGGTCCAGGCACACTTGGAAAACTCTACAAGGCCTCAGCTGCAGAAGGTCCAGAGACAGCAAGTAACACCTTTTATGACCCTTGACCATCAGGTATTCAGTCAGACTCTCAAGAGGACACCACCTCCAGCACCAAGCTGTATGCCTTTGGTGGAGCATGGACCCAAGAGCCCGGACAGTGATGCTGGCTGTGCAGGAAACCTATTTTCAAAACTGCTGGCTCATGGGAGAGAAGATGGTGGTGCAGAATGGCACGTATGTTCAATGGTTGGTTATGAAGTCTATCATAAGTGCTAGAAATTGAAGTTAACAATTTTGCAGTAATTATTTTGATAGTATAAGAAAAGAAATGTGTATTTCACTAATTAGTCTGCTATTATTAATCGCATACATGTTAATTATGCATACTAAATTATAAGTGCTCGTTTCAATACTAAATTAGCTAATTTATTTTTATACTGAATTAGTTATCAATGAGCCACAAATAATCCTACATTTTTAGAAGGTTTAATTCTAATTGTAAAGGTTTAGCTTTTACAATTAACTTAAGTTGAATATATCAATATCTTAAATAGTCATGGAATTGAAACCTATAGAGGTTATATAAAGAACACCAAGTTTGTGCTCTTAAAATGCTAACTATAATAAAATTACCTTACCACACTAAATATTTCATGGAATTATAAATAGACTTTTTACATTTGATTTTTTTATACATTTTTAAAAATTTAAACAAATTCTTCCTTATCGCTTACTAAATAACTGGCATGGAGTGATGCTGAGGCTTCAAAATAAAAGTCATGGAATGTGTTTTGCTTTTAAATGAATCTTCAAGAATACTGAAAAATAATACAAAGTAAGAAATAACTAGAACTTGGAAAAACCTTTAGCATCTTCTTGTAGATAATTTATACTGATTATGGAGCTTTCTTTTCTCTTTCCTTGTTAATGTTGATTGGTTGGTGGAGCCGGGTTCTCTCACACCTGAGGCATCCTCTCCTAATCTGAGTCACCTGTGAATGCTCCCTCTTCAGGTTGATACTTTTCTAACATTAAATTCACAGCATTGGAGAACAAAGGCAGAGAACTTGGGGTATCATTTGAACCCAAAGAGGAAGACTTTTAAGAATGAGTTTTATGTTAACTTGGAAAGTAGGAAATAATGAAGACCTGATAGATTATTCAGTGATAAACAAAATTATTACACTGTAGGACTCTCTGAAATACAAAACTTAAAGTTGATCTCTGTTATGTGTATTCAGACAATTTAGTGGTGTGTGTGTGTGTTGTGTGTGTGTGAATGTGTGTGTGTGCGCGCGTGTATGTGTGTGTGCATATGGAACTACTTTGGAGTGATATATATATATTTCAAAAGTGGAGCACAGAGTCAGGTTCCTTGTTCACTTCATGAAGAACAAACTACATGTGGGATGAGAGCCACCTGCACTGCAAATATTAGAACTATACCCAATACAATTTATCCTTCAACCACCTCTTCCAAAGTTTATTTTTTGTAAGGATTATTGCTTTTCAAGAAAAATCAAGTACCAAAGGTAATAAATATGCCAATTCATATGTGTCAAAGAAGCTGTAAGCTAGATGTTCTCAGACTAATTTTATACACACACACACACACACACACACTTGGGTTTTTTTTTTTTTTTGAGACAGGGTTCCTCTGTATTGCTTTGGAGCCTGTCCTGGAACTAGCTCTGGAACCAGGTTGGCCTCGAACTCACAGAGCTCCACCTGCCTCTGCCTCCCTGAGTGCTGGGATTAAAGGCATGCACCACCAACGCCAGGCTTATCTTCTTATATGTTGAAGATTTTGTTTATTTGTTGTTTGGGTTTTTAGAGCTTATTTTTGTTGTTCAACATAGAACTTCACTATATAGTCTAAACTGACCTTGAACTCAAGATCCTTCTGCTTCAACCTTTCCAGGACTGGAATTACAGAAGTACGATATAACATGTTGTTGCTGGAGCTTCCCCCATTTGTCTGGCTCCAAACACACACATGGACGCTGTATTTGTTATAAAACTGTTGGCTGGTGGCTTTAGCTTCTTATTGGCTAGCTCTTTTTTAATTAGTAACCCACTTCTGATAATCTATATATTTCCATATGCTCTTGGCTTACTGGAGAATGCCTGGTGTGTCCTCTCTTCCTGGGATATTACATGGTGACTCTGTCTGCCTACATTTCCCAGAATTCTCTTCATCACCTATCTTGGCTTATACTTCCTGCTCAGCCAATCAGCCAATCAGTGTTTAATTCATCAACAATAAGAGAAATATATATACAGAAGGACATCTCCCATCAACAAGTAGTCTGGAAGAAGAGTTAGTTTGATTTTTGTATTTTAAAACTTCCAAACACAATATCATGGTCTGAGCTCAGGAAATGGTTTTATTGATATTTCTTTGTTTTATTCCTTCTTTTCTTTTATCCAATGTTGACCATAGTATCACCTCATAGATCAGCGAGAGTATGCTGAGGTTCAGACAGGAGACAAGTGAGAGAGTAGGGGTCTCTGGCACAGAGATAGGTATTATTAAGAGGAGCACTTCACAGTATATATTTTTCCAGGATGAAACTGACATTTGTTCTTACAAGAGTGACAAGTGACTTTTGCACTAACCCTTGCTCCTAGCCTAGAATTTTCATCCATTCCTTTACTACTCTGAGATTTGCCATATGGGCCCACACCACATGTGGCTCTCCAGAGTTCAGATCTTCTTTACATCTTTTCTTTACCCTCTCTCATTCACTCTTCACTATTTGTCTGAATGATTTTAATTCTCTCTGAAAGATAAACTTGAGATGCCCCCTTCCCCTGTAGATTTTTCCTTGATGATTCTTTATATAGATTTGGTACCTCCATGACTGCACTCATTTTCACACCACACGATACATCTTAAACATTCAGTAACATTTTTTTTTCATTCTTTTGGTTTGTTACTTCACTGACCAAAATGTCATATCTTACTCACAGGCAAATTTACATCAATGGTAATTAGTGAATTCTGTTGTCAGGTTAGGGAATGAATGAAAAATGAGTTCAATCAATTCCATGTGATGTGTTCCACTGTTCAATGGTTTGCTTCTTCAACAGTGCTTGAACTCCATGATGATAAGAACTCCTCACTGTTGGCTCTTATAATAATACCTCTAGTTCTTGAAAGGTCTGAAAATAAGTATTGCTTGATAAGTATTTGGTAATTATTATTTGAATGGTTCCATGAAATTATTGGCAAGTCATATTTTTGTCATATCCTAATAGAGTCTCTCAACACTTGACTCAAGTTGACCAACCACTCAGATTATATTTATGGTAGTTTCATGTATTTCAAACTATTTACTACAGGTTATTTCCTTATATGTCCATGAGAAACTCCTAGTTGGATCATGTACCTCAATTCAGCATTCACACCTTCTCATATATATATATATATATATATTCTCTAATATATATGTGTATGTATATGTATATATATATATATATGTTATATACTAATATATATTAGTGTTTCACTAAAGACAGTGCAATAGAAAGAAGAAAACTTAGCTTCAGTGGTTGCTACTTTCATTTCTGTTTCAATGAAGAAATATCCCAGCAAAATGAACAGAAGGGGAGAAGTGGTTTGTTTCAGCTCACAATTGAAGGTTACCATCTACTAGTGTGGGGAAGGTCAGGTGGTAGGAACTTGAAGTAGCTAGACATATTACATCCATAGTCAAGAGAAGAGAGAGGAAATCCATACAGGCAAGTACTGAGCTCATTTCTTCCTTCTTGTACAGTCCAGGGTCCAGTCCAGGAAATGGTGCCCACATTTATGGTGGGTCTTCTCACCTCAATTAATGCAATTCATTCCTTTCTTTTTGTATTTGTTAAATCTTTTATAATGGTAATTTTTATTTAAATTTGAAACAAGCTTGTTTTACATGTCAATCCCAGTTCCCTCACCCTCCCCTCCTCCCCAGTTCCCCCTCCAATCCCCATCCCACCCCCTTTCTGCTACTCAGGGAGGATGAGGCCTTCCATGGGGAGTTTTCATGTCTGTCACATCATTTGAAGCAGGGCTCAGGCTCTCCCCCATGTGTCTAGGCTGAGGGAGTATCCCCTCTATGTGGAATGGGCTCCCAAAGTCCATTCATATACTAGGGATAAATATTGATCTACTACCAGAGGCCCCAAAGACTGCCCAGTCCTCCTAACTGGCACTCTTGTTCAGGGGGTGTAGGTCAATCCTCTCTACTGGTTTCCCAGTTATCAGACTGGAGTACATGAGCTCCCTCTTATTCAGGTCAGCTCTTTCTGTGGGCTTCTCCAGCCTGGACTTGACCCCTTTTCTCATCATTCCTCCCTCTCTCAACTGGATTCCAGGAGTTCAGCTTTGTATTTAGCTGTGGGTGTCTGTTTCTGCTTCCATCAGGTACTAGAAGGTACCATCTGGAATGGAATATAAGGTAGTCATCAATCTCATTATAGGGGAAGGGCATTTATTGCTTAGATTGTTAGTTGGGGTCATCCGTGTAGATCTCTGGACATTTTCCTAAAGATAGGTTACTCTTAAAACCTATAGTGGCTCCCTCTACTATGGTATCTCTTTTCTTGCTCTCCTCTATTCTTTTCCTGACTCAAACTTCCTGATCTCTCATGCCCTCCTCTTCCCCCTTTTTTTCCCGTTCTCTTTCTCCCCAATTCCTCTTCCCTCTCCACATGCTCCCAGTTTGATCAGGAGATCTTGTCCCTTTCCCCTTCTCCAACAGATCATGTATGTCTCTTTTAAGGCCCTCCTTGTTTCCTAGCTTTTCTGGCAGTGTGGATTGTAGGTTGGTGATCCTTTGCTCTATCTTTAAAATCCATATATGAGTGAGTAACTACCATGTTTGTCTTTATTTATTTATTTATCTTATTTTACACATCGATCCCTGTTTCCCTTCCTCCCTCCCTTTCTCCCTCCCTCCCATGTCCCCCCACCACCCTCCCATCCCATTCCCCCACCCACTCCACAGGAGGGTAATGACTTATAGGAGAAGTCAACAAAGCCTGTCAAGTCATTTGGAGTAGGGAGTAGGCCCTCCCTCCTGCCTCCAAGTTAAGGGAGTATTCCTCCATGGGGAATGTGCTCCCAAAGTCCTTTTGTGCACCAGGGATGCATCCTGGTTCCACTGTCAGAGGTCCCTTAGATTTCCCAGGCCTTCTAACTGAGACCCATGTTCAGGAGGTCTGAGTTGATCCAATGCTGGTTTCCCAGCTATCAG